GATCTCTATGGATTTATGTAAAATGAAACCTTTTACATCCGCCAATAAGTGGCCGCGTCCTCCAAAGGATGTCATCTCGACGACGCAGACGCTGCGTCGAATGCTATGGAAAGTTGGCAGAAGCTGTAAGCAGTCAATATCCTCAAGGTCATACTAGAAGAATAAGTGCATGGTGTAGTTAATGCATGGTGCAGTTTTATTAAACTGTAAAGTTGTGCGCAAAATCCATAATACTGGACGCCGGCAGCCGAAACAATAGGTGAGACGAAAGTCGAACGGAGGAAGAGCTAGAGCCCAAACAGTTGTGATGACGGGCCGTATAAATAAACAAATACATAAATGTTAATTTCATGCAAGGGTCATGGCGACTAAAGATAGTGTAACGATGCTGACTGTAGATTTTGAACTTCTAAGAAACGATGTTGAGTGCAAAGTTCATAACATCAGGAAAATCTTCCAAAAATTTGAAGGTCGTCAAAAAGTGTTTTCCACTTTTCGATGAATATACACTCTTCACCTACTATATACCGCAAATACCTTCATATAACCAAGAATACTGAACGATAAGCAAAGCTTTCAACCTCGGGTGGGAGCCATACCTGTGTTTCACCCTTTATGAAGCGCGTGCAAACCACTGCCACCACCTGTGTTATACAAGATGGTTCATGGCAGAAGTTATACACTGTAAAATAAATGTTGACGACTTTGATGGTTACAGCTCATGTGAGTGCTTCGAATGACTCAGTTTACGTTCTGATTGATGCTCACTTCGTGCAGCCACAGGCGTCTCGTATAGAGCAAAACTTTTTGTGGTTTTTTTGGTTATCGAGATGCATTTCTCAACTCTTCGTGGGCAAGGCTTTTTCCACTATTTCCCCATATGTTTAGTAATCATTCAATAGCTTGCTTTAGACAATTTCAACATTACGTCTTTTTCCCGAAAAGACCTCTCAGTGCGCTGTAGCAGCAAAAATAATGTTAAGTTCCACACATAGCGCGCATTTTTTGTGCCAAGGTATAAGATAGCCGTGTGAATGAGATTCTATAGCATTCGCAACAAGCAGCGTCGACGGCATAAGGTTGATTGATTCTGAAGTTAAGTTTGATTCATGAAAAGGTTCTCAAAGGAAGCTGAAAGAGCAAAAGGAAGGTTTCACACTCCAGCGGTTGGTTGTTGAGGTTTAGGCTTCGCAGCAAGTTCATATAACATCATGAATTGAAAATCAAAACCTAATCACATGGAAAGATAAAACAAAGCTCCTTCTACAGTACAATACGGGAACCCTGAAAAATTTCATGAAACGAAGAAAAAGTTTGCAAATATGTTATGGAAATATATGCGATTATGCATGCTAAGTGTGGAACTCTATTATATCTAAGATTGAGCAAAAAGTTGCGGAAAACTGTTAAAAGTTTCGTTTTTATGCGCACATTAACATCAAAAATAATGATAACTGTTTGCGAAAGTATAGATCGCCACTGTCCACGACTTTCTGCCATCGCTCTGCAAGATTCTGGAACCGCTCAAAGTTCCATTTCGTTCTGTTGAATTGTAAGATTCTTAGCGGGTTTCTTTAACTCATTCAATGATTAGAATCGACAACCATTCGAAAAGTGTTGCGTTGATCGAAAGAGACCATGATCGGATAAAGCTCATGCGGATCCTGACGAGGATTCTTGTGTACAAAGACAAAATGGTGCAAATTGTTGACATGGTTCGCTGCGAAACATCAATCTCTCCAGCAAAATCACAAGATGAAGACCTAGATTCAGAGCGGCTTATAAGTCACTTTCGACCAAACAGATAGCCGGCCAGAACAAGGTGTCTTCGAGATCAAAATTGCCTTTTTGAATCGCTCAAATTATCTGCCCACAGTTGAGTTTATCGCTGTACTAGGACATTCACCTCGTTAAGCAATCGATGACTTGAAGAATTGTTAAACATCTCCTCCGATAGTGGCGGATCAACGCACGCAAATCAAACTTCAATAGAAGTGTTGAAGCTGGAAGAAAATGAACTGGATAATTAATAGAGAACTTTTACGTCACCTGGGAATCGAAATCACATTTCACCCTAGGCGGGGCGTGTGCTCGAACCGTTGCACAAATGTCACCTCTTTTGACATCACTCTTTCTTTGAGCACGCACACCGGATAGGGTAAAATGTGGGTTCAAATTCCAGCTGACGCAGTCTGCAGGTTCTTTTTGATTCGGAGGGAACAAATAAAAACTGATCTTAGTCGCTGGGAGAAAACTCTTCATAGGAGTGTCAGTATTCATTCGAAAGCTGAAACTTGCGGCTGCAGCCCCACGTCGCCGGTCTTTCAAAACACCCCTCTATAATGCTGTAAAATTCAAAATAAACTCATGTTTTAGGGAACCACGTGCCTTTTTCCCTTAGCTCGCTTACATTCCGCTGGCCAAAACTCATTCCTTGAAGTGCTAGTACTCACACTATAGCACAAGCTTCAAGGAATTCGAAATGTGTTTGCTTTTGAAAAATTCTTTTGATCTTTTGATCACTTTTGGTCTTTCGATGTGTGCTTTAAACCTTGCCGGACATAGCTCTCCCCTAAACTATTGGTAATCATCTGATAGCGTAATGTATTTTGATTCTAGCGATGCGCTGATTTTTTGGAAATATTGTTCAGCAGGAAAAATAAGATCGAATTTTAAGATTTGGTAACGTTGTTTACCGACTATTCGACAAGGCGAAGGCTATGGCGGAGGGCGTGGCAGGCGTGGGGCGAGGCGGGTCGATCGATATTTTGTTATTCAACTGGAAATGTTTTCTCCGCTTTCAAGGAAACTCCCAATAAAACGATTGACGAAGAAGCTACGAAAATTTCTCTACACATCGGTATGACTTTCGGCTGCAAGCGAGTTATAGGCTTAATAAAATAAAGGCGAGAAGCGAGTCTGAAGCATAGTTTTTTGATCTGGATGACACAACGTCATAAAGGGGTGTTTAGAAAAACCGGCGACGTGGGACTGTAGTCTCGTCTCAGCTTTTGAGTGGTTACTACCGATGAAAAACTCCTCCCCAGCGAATGAGATCCGTTTCTCATTTGTTCTCTCCTAACTAGACAGAATCGTTTTGCAGATCTTTCTACATCACCTGGTTTTAAGAAACATCATATTACCGCTAAAAGCAGTTGAGAAAAGACATCTGTTTAGAGATTTTCCAATAAAAACGACACAAAGATGTTAAAAAATGAACCTTCGAGAATTTTCCCGCAACCTCTTTCTCAATTTTTTCCCAATTTCAATTGTCTCTACTGCAGCACACCAAAAAAGTTGACTCGGATTTAAACTATCGATTGATTTGTAAAGTCTCAGGCAGAATGTATTAAGTCTTCTCTTCGGAGGGCTGAAAAATCTAAGCCTATTAGCCCTGCAAAAATGCTCTTTGCGTGTGAAACATGATATTATTTTTGCTGCTACAGCACTCTAAGAAGGCTCTTTTTAGAAGAAACTACACTGCTGAAATCGCCGAGATTTAGGCCATCGAATGACTATTGTAAATATGAGAAAAAGAGGGGAATGAGTCTTTTCCTCAGCGAGTTGAAAAACGAATCCCTATAAGAGAAAAAGCCCTCCTTTTCACAACTCTCGTGTCCCTGGTCTCCAAACACCAGTTCACAAGAGCAAAAGACGTGTCGACAGCCGCTGAAGATTTCAACCAAACGGAAGAAACTCGTCCGAAAAAGGGTCGATTTTTCTATAGAAAAAAACGCGCGTTTTTGACAGCAGAAGCACTGATTTTATCCATCGGTAGATTACCACGAGTGACTCTGAAGGCCAGATCTACATTCATCACCTCTAACGGTGCTCGATGAAGTCGAATGCACGGCTATCCTTCACGGACCGATCAACGCCGGCAGCTCTAACCCCATTATTTCATTGACGCTAGTGAAGAGTTGGGGGCGCCGCGGGCGATCGATCGAGTGGTTGTGACGCCTATGGTACGCCACGACCAGGCTATCCTCGAGATCGCAAGGAGACTCGCGAAATCAGTATTCTACGACGTTCAGGAAGAAGACGAGAAAAACGAACTGATGCTGGAAGTACTCGGATTAGCACTGTACGGCGAGGAAAGAAACACTGTGAATACTGATTAATAAAATGGCCAAAAAAGTGGAGAGTTGCGGCTTCATCAATTTTTCCTAAACCTAAGCCTCTCGCAATTTCTTATTCGAAAAAACCAAAAAAAATACTCAAAAAACTAGCGGGACTAGAACTCTCCACGAGCACCGCGACGAGCATCGCAACCACTCGGCCACGGCGCATCCTCTCTTCACGACGACGGCCGTTTTATTTCATTGGAATCAACATGTATGGTTGCAAAAGACTTAGGCCATATCACTGATTACCAGGCTCATCTCAAGGCTTACATAATAGCCCTCGAAGGCCTGGAGCTACGCAGAAAAGTGGCCCGTGCTCCTCCCTCGATCGGCGTTTGGCGACAATAACTGTAGGTCAGGCATTCGTGTCAGGACCACATTGAGAGTCTTGTCAGGTGCAGTTGTCTCTGAACTTTCCCAAATAATAAGATGATAATTGAGTTTATACCCTCATTTTTGAACGAGCGGTTTTGGCGCGAAACTCCTCCGGATGCGACGGCATTGCGAAATTGTGAGAGCTCAACAGCACAGCTCAGGACACACCGAGGTGTAGCCGTTCTCATAGCTAATCTGGCATTTCTTTGTTTCTCTCACTTACTTGTTTATTTGTTTATTTATTTACTCGACACTATTTTTATTATACTTTGAAAATTACAAAGTGAAAATGTTTGATCTACGGGTTTTTATGGGATTTTGATGGGATTGTGACGCTATGACGTCATCGATTCTTTCTTTTCGTTTCTGATCGGTTTCTTTGGTTTTTAAACGTTATCTTTTCGCAATGCTCATGATTTCTAGTGTTTTTGATGCTTTTTCCGCAGTGCTATTTGATGTCTCCCGTTACACCTAAGAGACTTGAGTGATGTACAAGAATACGACCTCATCCGGGAGTCGAACCCGCGTTTCACCCATACCCCCCTCGCGAGCGCGTGCTACCACTGCACCACCAAGGCACCGTTTCACCAGCACGAGTGAGTGAAGAATGAGTGCTGTTAAAACCGTGCGTCGACTGGTTTAGTGGTAGCGCGAGCCCCCGCTATGTGTGAAACGTGGGTTCGACTCCTGCCTTAGGTCGAGTTTTTTGCTCAGCACTCAAATCTCATAGGTTATCTTCTTGTATTCGTATCGACTCATGTGGATTGATTCAAACTGCGAATTAAATACTTGCAAACTATGACGTCACTGTACAAAATGGGTTGAAGTCGTCAGCTTACAAGTGTTTTTTCAACCTCTTATACGACAGAAAATTGGTAAAGTTGGTGTTTGATGTGGATATGACTGCTTTCAGTAGCCAGCTAGTTCTTCATATGACCAGAAAGCGACGTAGGAATGGTCACAGACACGACAGTGAAGATCGTAAAAGAAGTCCCGTCAAGTCGGAGAATGCCACCATCAGGTAATGAATCAGTTCCTCCGTTCCTGAATCTTAAGGTACAATCCTGTTGTTGGAATGCATTTTTGATGTTGATTAATCGATCGACAGCTTAGATTCCAGCGATCGTTAGTACTACAGCTTTCTTTCTGGAAAAGCTTTTTCAGACTGTTGTAGCTGCGTCAGTATTGGGTTGGCAGGAATTTTCCCGCGTTTTTCGTATTTGTTGCCTGTTTTTCATGCCAGATAATCATTTTTGAGCCACGCATTTCATGTGTTTGGCTAGAAAAGGGCTGACTTACAGAGCCCGATACACGCGCGATCTTGCGATCTCGTCAATCGGGCAGTTACCCTTTCTCGTCTTTTGCCAATCCTGTGTGGGTGCTCCAGTCCCCACACTGAGAGTTATCGACGACGAACGTTTTATACTCTATGTCAAGTGAAGTTATCACCGAACACAGAGTGTTGTACACTCGATTGCTCTTGGCTAGTATATCTGATATATCATATCTTTCGTTTCGAGTGTTTTCTTAAGAACACAGCTCAGAATTCAATATGCCTGATAATCATTTTTGAGCCACGCATTTGATCTGTGGTCTTAAGAAAACACTAGAAACGAGCGATATTTTTCATGCATTCAAGTTTGTAGTTTTTACTATCGTTTAGAGCAGCTTCTTGTGGTTATTTGGTATATAACACTCATATATTTGTTCAAGATGAATAATCAAGAAATTCGAAAAAGTCCGGAGGATCCAACCCAATAAGATCACGTTTCAAACTCGACGTGCACCTCTTTCGCCCTCTTCTGGCACGTCAGCAATCAATCGATATCAAATGAAATTCTAATTATTCAACCGCCCTAGCGGTGGTACGATGTTACACAAATGTATACCTATTGATGTAGAGTGATGTGCAAAACTTTTGCGTCAGGCGGGACTAGAACCCGCACCTCATTCTTTCCGGGAATGCGTACTCTATCCGTTACACTACTGACGCCCATTTTGCACATCGCTCTTTCTATGCTACATCGCATCTATCTGTCAGCCGCCAGCTGTCAACGGCCTGGCCCGAGTAGTCGATCTCGACATTGAACCCAGTCACGCTGACAGATATTGGGTATTAGAGATCAAATGAAATTCTAAATGAAAGTTTTGCACATCACTCTACTACAATGGGTATACATTTATGTTATATCATTCATTAGCTTGAATCTCGAGGACTTTAATGGTTTACTTTGTTCTCAAAATGATCTCTTTAGCTTGTTATAGCAGCGGAAATAAGATTAGGTTTCCAGCGTTGCTAAATCCCATCCACTCATCTTATTCGACTTAAAATGCGCGCCAAGTGTGAAATTCAATTTCTCATTCGCTGCTCTACTGCCAGAAGAACCTTTCTAAGAAAACAATCACAGCGCTGAAATCGTCGAGATTAACGCTATTGAACGACTACTCAAAGTCTGAGGAAAGAACGGTGAAGGCTTTGTCCTCGAAGGGTTGAAAAATGCATTCCAATAGCGGAAAGTTACCACTTTTCTTCACCCTAAAATTCCATAGCTAAGAGCGGTTTAATTTTTTTTATCCGAAAAAGACGGACAAATACGCGCATTTCCTGAGCTCGTAATTATTCCTAGAGTAAAAAGTACTCAGGCGGAAATTATGAAGAGATTCTACAAGCAAGAGAAAAAATGCGAAAGCTGAAATTTTGGAAAAACAACTGTACGCACGCGCCCATTTTCCGTCACAGACCACCGCTGTTATTTTTGAAATTTTAGGGTATTTTTTGGTTTGTCGATGAGCTTATAAGGGGTTGTTTGTATCGGATCCACTCTGTTTATCGTGTAGGTTCCTCCAAAGACCCGAAATACTGAAATTACACCGAAAAGTAGTAAGCGAGAATTCCTTATTTCCACTTAATTCTAAGCTATCTTCAATGAGCACGCGTGGTAAAGTGGTTGATTCCGGCTAGTTTTACTAAGTTTTTGCTTTTGTTTCTTGTTTTCAGTGGTTTTCCCGTGATTTTATGAAGGTTTACGCTTTCCTGTTTTCATTCTTCTTGCTCTCTTTTCAAGCCTAATGTGTAAACTTGTGTCGAAGAAAGAGTGATGGCAGAACGGAGCTCGTTTGATAGTGCAACGGTTGCCACACGCCCCAGGAAAGGGTAAAATGCGGGTTCGAATCCCGTTCGAGCGTTCGTAGTTTTGCACATCATTCGACATTATTGGATGCGTATTTACAACATCATCCCTGTCAATCCCTGTCGTCCCGTGATCGTCGAGTGACTTGAGCGGGGTACCAGCAACACTTCCGTTTTTCCCTATCGCGTGCAAGAGGCATAGTGGTTCCTCCTCGCTCTAGGGATTCGTTAAGCATCATATCTTTCTTCTATGCCCTTCGTGAAGAAATCGACCAACGGGTCAGTGGTCTTCTTGTAGAACGCTTGATATCCCGAGAAATCCACTCGGAAACGGCCTTCGTCCATCGGTTGTCGATGAAGCGCATCACCTGTCCGGCCCATCTTTTTTCGATATCCTGGCCTGTAGAACGGCGTCTCTGACCTTCGATCGATGACGTGGGTCGGAATTTCGGATCCTTTCTCTTTGTAACATCATACCACCGCTAAAAAGATCTGTAATATAGTATCATCCACTAATAGGATTCAGATAAGAAGAACTTGTAATTGATTACTGCGTGAACTGTTCGAACTTTAAGAAAGCACTCACAGGAGAAGGACAAAACGAGGCGTACGTATCGTTCACGTACATCTCATATTTATCGATTGATATACACCTTTGTACTTCTATTCTATGTAGAAGCCCAATGTCCATTTCGGAATACAGATCTTGTGGGCAAGTTCTTACTCTCCATAAGGGTTGTGATGTTTATCCAGGTGATTTCAGTTTGGAACGACCGTCGACTGAGTCGCTGTCACAACCGGTGACGAGCAGGACTGATGATGTCAGCGATGAAGATGTGATCGTGATTGACAGCCAGGAAGATGTCGAGTCCTCGCCAGAATCTGAAGTTCGTTGCTGGAATATTCCTTGCCTTACATAGTTTCAAATGTTTTTCTAACTTAAAGTAACAGTTTTCGACAATAATCCATGAGATTTTTGTTGATTTTCTCGTTTTCTTTCCTCTATTCCACCCCTTTTGTACTGTGATGCATGGAAAACAACGTCCTTCTTTTGAAGGATGCTGATTACTGGTAACAATTCAAAGCTAGAATGGATGAGATTCGTTCATTATGCGAACAATTCAGTAGACAAAAATACGAGCATCCGGAGAAGTCCAAGGACCCTTTCAGAAACGGTTAGTGATTTCGCTTAAAATTAGCTATCGCTGCGATACAGGCCATAATTTTTCCTCTTCTCTCTCTCTCTCTCTGACATTCTACTTTGGCTTCTTAGGTACCGAATGCACTCATTTGAATGCATCAAATGCCGCGCTGCGTGCCTTGTAGTTTGTAGCGGCGCGCAGCGCAATGAAAATGAAAGAATTTGTTTTGTAATTTGAAGTTTTGAGAGGAACGCTACCAGTATCAGATGGTAAAGTATCGCAGAAGAGACTTCTATAAGGACTCTTCTTATAAAAAAAGAACGCATGTGGTCGAACTTCTCCTTATGTTTCAATCAGAAATCCACGTCGTTGTGGGAACGAACATATTTTCAGCTGTCAATAGATCTTTTGTTCTTATTTTATCTATGGTTCTATAGTCATTCGATAGCTTAAGAACTGCTGATTTTGGAACTAAGTTTGGTTTTTCGAAAGGCTATCTACTTTTGTTCAACTAGCGGAAAAAATGACATTTTGATTACGCAGTCTTATCCCATTGATTGACTTCACGACGGATTTTGAGAAATTAAAGAGAGATTTGATTTAAGTATGAATAAATATGAATAAGGTGACATCAAAATGTTCACGCTAGATCGGAATAGATATTGTCGCACGTATCTGGTATTTTCCATAGGAAATACGGCGTTTTAGCGAAACATAACGTTGTTTCTACTACAGACGAGCTTATTGACGTCGCTTCATTCATATCCTGCTATTTACTGCCGATAAATTACCTCTAGCAACGAAAATCTAAATTCCATCAGAGAACTGCGTAATTGGAACCCCCACTGCCAGCAGGCGACCGCGCCGCCTGCCAGACAAAAAATCAACGGGTACTCAAACGACTTGAATTTATGCTGACAGGATACAATATAAGTGACTTCAGAGTTCCGAGAGTTGTTCTGTGCCGGAGCGATTTGTGAAAAATTGGATGTCCAGCTCAGTTCTCGGCTTGGATCTGGTAAATCCACAAATTCTTACGCTTTTCCGGATTGCTATTATTATTGTCGCTTATATAGGTCTTCACTTCAGAGCAAGAACTTCGTAATTCACGATCGCACTCTTTAAATGAAATGTTATCGTTATGCCAACGGCTGGGAGGGCTTGTAAAAGAGAATTTGGCTTCAGAAAATTAGTATGTTTTTTTCTTTCATTGTCTTCATATTTCATAGGCTGGCTCGTTTTTCTTCTTTGACAAGCATCGAACGCTTCATGTGACTTTAGTCAGTGTTTTTCAGTCTTTGCTTCG